TTATGAGATTGTGATTGATGCCCCTAGCCTTATTTGATTCAAATGCTGTTACCTATCAAAACGCTTCTCCCTCAAAAATCTCAACTCTCTTGTCGAAGCATGTATCGATTTTGGGAGAATCTTTTATTCTTATCAATCTTTTGTCTCTTATAATACGGCTGCAACTAATCTCTTTAAAGGCATTAGTAATGTTCAGTCACTTCATTTATCTGGCAATTTTACAAAGGTTAGTTTTGTTCAACCCCAAATTCATTGATTTTTCTAGTCTAAAAAGTGCACTAAAAAGTGACTATGATTGTCTTTTCCTGTAGGTTTTCCTAGAATGTAGTAGCATAATCCATGGGTTGCCTAAGTTGACTTATTTTAGTCTCAATGGCTACTTCTTTGTTGGGTGGGAAAGAGTGCTACCACATTTACTCGCATCTTTTCCTTGTCTAGAAGCTCTTGCTTTAGAGGTAGGATTCATGAAATGAAATATAATTTTATATAATTTGTATTAATGGCATATATTAATGTAAAGTGGCAAATGTTCATATATTTTTTTCTCGTTCAGGTCAATCTCCAGTATGCAAGCAACAGAAGCACAGTTACATTACTATCCAAGAGATTTCCTTCCTTTCTGTGGTCTTAACTCAAGACACTTAAAATTTTGTCATTCGAAGGTATAGAAAATGAGCTGGAAATGGTTGAGTATTTTCTGAAGAATGCTCAAGTTCTGGAGATTTTCACAGTACAGATCAGACGAAGAAGAAGTCACAAGCCATCAAGATGAAGGTCAAAGATCTCTAAGACATTGTTGAAATTATCAAAAGTCTCAGAGAAATGTAAAGTCTTAGTTGTATAACTATTTTTTGATATGTGATAATGATGGTTGCCAGATTTTCACAACCATATGTTATCAATGACTAGTTAATTCCACTTCAGCATTGATTTGAATATCAATTAGTTTTGCTTGAATATTACTACTTCTGATGTTCAATTTTTAAACCATTTGTGGCTAGCGCAACACCAAAAAAAAAATTCAGGCAGGAAATTTTTGTGCAATGCTTGAACGTGTTTGGTGATGAATTTAACATGCTGGTCTCACTAATGGCTAACCTTGTCTTTAATCTTAGGTGACACCAGAACCCATGCGTTTAACCTTAAGGCAGTTTATAAATTGAAAATATCACACCTGTTTTGCTTCAACTATGGATTCATGAAAAATTTGCTGCTCAAAATCACTGACATGCACTGTGAAGGCATAGAGTGAGAGAATTTCAAAGAAAAGGATCTTCAAATTTCTGTAAATCTTTTCCATCTGTGAGATTAATAGCTGCACTCTATGATCAGGATCAATCTTGTCGCCTATTATTTGCAGTTCCTCCTGGCCAATAGGTAGGAGACTCTTTGAATTTGTGTTTGCAAGAGATCCACTGTCATTGATATGACTAAATCAAAAGAAACTTGGCAAGTTGTAAATGCAAAAATAAGAACAAACCCAATGCTTTAATACAACCTTCAATTTGCATATCTAAAGCAGAATATATATGAAAAAAATACAACAGCAGCAACTAATGAAAATTTATGGCAACAGCAACCAGAATATCTTGGTTTAATGTATTAAAACCAAAAACGAAAATATTGCAAATTAAAACTACTGCAAATTTCTAAAGGTCTAATAGAGCTTATTTTGACTTGTTTAACATGGGTCATCTTCAGACAGACATGAGAGGAATTGGTTTTGCGGCTTGCAGCTAGCGGCTTCTTTTTTAATGTTTTCAATTGCTTCAGCCTCTTCAGTATCCTTTGACGGTACTCCCCTTGTACTTGTAGCTTATCAGAAGCTTTGACTATGGCATTGTAGTTGGGTTGAGGACGGACAAGATAAACAGATGCGGCTGCTTCTGGCATTTTAGCACGTTGGCTTAAGTTAAGGATCGAGGTTGAGAACTCGACGTGTGTTCTTTGGTGACTCTAAAATCCAAAGCAAACTCCCTATATTCAATGGTTGCGTGCCTTGCGGGTTTTTTCACAAGCTGTTTCATGAAGGGAACGTCATGAACCTCGATGTTCCTCAGGACAGAAAACTTTGTTCTCTTGTTAAATATGATTAGGCCCCACTTTTCAACCAAATCCATAGCAAGTTTTTTGTTAGAAGCGATTTTCTCGTCTGATTTTGATAAGAACATAATAACCTTTCCAATGCCACTCTTCTTGAACAGTTCTCCACGATCTGGTTGCTCCAAATCAACTGGAAAATCAGTTAAAGATGTTCAAAATGGCAGCCCGGCTGTTGGCATTGGGTAAGCTTCCATCAGGGAGGGGTTGTAGCCAACTCCTCAAGAGGATCAAAACGCCATGATCCGAGAATTCTAGTTGAAGACTTTTCTTGAGTAAAACCTCGACAAGAAGAGGCAACTTCTGGAGTTTATTGATGGCAGGTTGGCATTTTTCAGTTGAGCTGTGCATCATCTTCCACAACAATCTCAAGCTCAGCCATTGCTTTCTCAACATACGAAGCAATTTCTTCACAACTTTTCTCACTCTTCTTCCGCCTTTTAACTGCGCAATAAATGGCCTTGATTTCTGGGTCGTGATCGACTACTCCATCAGAAACCTTTCCTCTATTCCTTTTCTTCTCTCCTTCCATGAACTAAATCAAGAATGCTCCGTCTCTCAACTTTGTTTTTGATATCACTTCTTTTTCGAGGCTTTAAAAGGGGTGTATTTATAGATTTTTGAATAAGCCCAATCCCAGTATAAATGCGACTGACATGAATCCCTGAACCAATGGGATTCGGTAGTTTCCAAAGCCAACTGTCAGGACTCAGGGTGTAAACTAACTCAAGAGACTGACTTTAAGAAGCATTACATCTTCGAATTCTCATCAAAAACTTGTGATTAACGCATCAAGTCTTGTCTACATGGAGCAGTTTGATTTGGTAGCAAAACACTAATTGCTGAACCTGCAGTCTCCTGTTGAGGCCCTGGACCAATTATTTTCACCTCCTTTTATCATGCTGCTGCAGCAGATCTGCTGAGAAAAGCCATGTCATGATTGTCTGACCTTCTCAATCGTTTTTCTGGATTAATCAGCCTGGAATGCTCTCAACAAAGAACCATGAATCAAACAAGGGAAGTGCCCCCTTGTTTTTTATCTCACATCAAAGCAATTAAATTTCTGTTACTCCAAGGGAAGAAATCTGAACTGCAAAATAATTAAGTATTTTTATCATGCATGCTGCAGTTTTAGGGAATTTGCTGTTAGGTTTATTGCACCAAAGAGCCAGCAGCTCAAGATCACTGAACAACTGTTGAATTGATGTACCAAGAATTTGAAGAAATGCCAAGTTAATTATAGTTGTCCAAATTTCTCAATCTTTCTTTTAGATTCACGGGTCTGTTACTATTAATATTCTAGCTTAATTCTGATATATACAAGTAGTGTTTCCTTGATCAAATCTTCTCAAATGTATTTACAGGCCAACTCTTACTTGATCCACTTGACTGTTCAGCTTTTGTCAATGAACAGTACTAGAAGCATAAATGTTAGCCAAAGATGCAAATACAGTTAAATTCCTTTCCAACACACAGGAAAACCCGAAATCATTCTTTTTTTATTTACTCAAAATTATCATCATTTTCCTGTTCTTTCAAACATTTAATCAGCTTTTGTTTTGCAGAATCATCTGGCAACAAATATAGAGCAGTACCTTAGTAAATGAATTTGTGTATAATAAAATCCAAAACCCTAAAAAAAAGAAATTTAAAAAAATTACTGCTATGCTTCTCTTATATTCCTAGTCTAAAATTGCCATGTCTTGTCATCACCCCATTCCCAACCCCAACAACTTGAGAACATATCATTTTATATTTGGCCAAAATATAATCACAACAAAACAATAAACCTACACTTCACCACACTCAAACCAAACCTCCCCACAAAATCCAACTTTCTTCTCGATAACCCTTTTTCATAGGGGAAGTGGTCCATCAATCTAAAATAATTTAAAATATAATGCAGTAATATAATATATAATAATATAAAAATATGTAAAAAAATAATTTAAAATTTTAATAACATTATATATAATATATTTATATATATTTTTATTAACAAAAATTATAATACATAATTTTTATATAAAATATAATAAAAATATATAAATTATCAATACTTCATGTTTCATGAATACACCGTACATATAATCCAATCACTTTAATATTAAAAGAGCTGTGGACACTTCACATGAATAAAACCGAAGAGTTGGCTTGACATTCAACCTCAAAAAAAAAAGGGCTTTGGACTGAGATTTGAGAGCTTATGAAACAATCTCGTTTTCTCTCTTCATCCTTTTCACCGCCTTGTTGTCACATCGAGCAAAGAGCTCAAAACTTTCCAAAAATAGTAAAACCCAAAAAAAAAAAATCTTTTGTATTTTCTCTTGGAGGTAAAAGAAAATTGAAAAAATTGATAATTTATTTAAAGATATAGTGAATGATTTATTTTGGATCAATTTTTTTATTTGTTTGATATCAAATTTAGATATTAAATGTATAATTTAATTTTGAATTGAGATATGAAAAAAATTAAATAGAATTAAATAATATATTTTTATTAATTTTTATATATTTTAAATTTTTAAAAAATAAAAATAATTATTTATATATAATTTTATTTAAATATATAAAAATTTTATTAAAATAATATATAAAAATTAAATTTTAAAAATTAATAAATCAAATAAAATTGAATAAATAAAATTTGATTATGATCTATTTTAAAAAATTAATTCGTATTTAAATTTAATTTTAAAAATTTATAATATTATATATTATCTAAAAATATTAAATTAATTTCGACCCTATCCAAACTCTTGTCACTTTTATTTTTTCTATGATATTTTTTATATTTTACTTTTATCATTAATTAAATCAGCTTTTTAAATTAAAAAAAAAAAGGAAAAATCGGTATTTTCGTAATTACGGGTAGCCTTTTTACAAAGTTTTGATTTTTATTTGTCTTGTCTTGATCCTCGTTCGAGTTTTTAAAAAATACGCAAGTAGAGTTTTCATTGGAATCCCCAAAGTTTTGGATTTTTCTTTATAAAAACGGATCTTTCTTGACCCTTGATTCAAAATATACCCATTCTCAGTTTTAATTAAAAAGTTTGAAAAAAAATGAATTTTAGCATTAAGCAATCGGCTTTAGCTACATGCATTGATGTCTCAAAATCGGTTGTTCACAAAATAGCACCTTCGACAATTTGTAGATCTTCCTTTTCACCATCTTTGAACCTTCGGAACAACCTCAAAAGAACCAATCTTTCAGTGTCAAAGCCATTGCATATCACATCTATTGAGAGTTTTGGTAAGGTGAAAAAACCAGTGATCCAATGCAAGGCTTATGAAGCCGACAAGTTTATAGAGGCAGCTGGGGAAGGGAAATTTGAAGCTGCAAAAAGGTTGAAAATTGGAGTTTATTTTGCAACTTGGTGGGCTTTGAATGTGGTTTTCAATATATATAACAAGAAGGTTTTGAATGCTTACCCTTACCCTTGGTTGACTTCAACTTTGTCCCTTGCGTGTGGTTCTTTGATGATGCTTATTTCATGGGCTACAAGAATTGCTGAGGCCCCAAAAACAGATTTTGAGTTTTGGAAGACTTTGTTTCCGGTGAGTTTTTTTTTTTCTCTTTTTGTGTTTGGTTGGTGAGAAAGTGAGGGAAAGTGAAAGAAAATGATAGAAAGTTGTGTTTATGGTTTTCATTTTTTTTAATGTTTTGATGCTGCTGAACTTTTTTGCAAGATCATGTGTTCTTATGTTGTCTGGACTCTAGGGAGGAAAAAGTTAGAAGTGCAGATGGTCATGTTTTAGTTTTAAGAAAATTACTGTTTGTCTGATTGGAGAGAAAATGAAGGAAATGAACTTATCTTACATTTTAAAGAAAACAAATTGATGGAAGAAAATAAAATAAGAATTTGATGTATGTCATTGTTTTTGCAAAATTAAGATCAAGATGTCAATTCAATAATTGTTCAGTCTTGGCTCCACAGCCTGAGACCATGGATTACAATCTTACTGAATTTCAGGCTTCTTCTTTTGTTTTTTCTTTTCTTTTTTCCTAGGTTGCTGTGGCACATACAATTGGACATGTAGCGGCAACTGTGAGTATGTCTAAGGTTGCAGTTTCATTCACCCACATCATCAAGAGTGGTGAGCCAGCTTTTAGTGTGCTGGTTTCAAGGTTCTTGCTTGGAGAGACCTTCCCTCCATCAGTTTATCTGTCCCTTGTTCCAATCATTGGTGGTTGTGCTCTTGCTGCTGTAACTGAACTCAACTTCAATATGACAGGTAAAAGCAATAATCTCTGATCTGGATGTTGATTTGTGGCTTTTATGATTTAATCTGTACTTCATAGTTTGAAGCTGAGCTCACTCTTTTTCTATAAAGTTCTTTTTTCTTTACCTCAGGTTTCTTAACAAACCAAAAAAGGTTCAATATATGGCCCTCATTTCCCCTTCATATGATTTTTCAAGTGTGTTGTAGTTATTTTGGTCTTGTTCTCAGCTGTTAATGTGGGTTCAGTATTGTGGATATTTATGTTGCTTGAGGAACCTAACTGTGGTTGAGATTGTAATTTCAATCAATTTGCTTTGAAACCAGAGTGCTAAATTTGGTTGTTCGCTGTGTATTTCAGGTTTTATGGGAGCTATGATATCAAACTTGGCATTTGTCTTCCGTAACATATTCTCAAAGAAGGGAATGAAGGGGAATTCTGTTAGTGGGATGAACTATTATGCTTGTCTATCAATGTTGTCTCTTGTAATTCTCACGCCTTTTGCAATTGCTGTAGAGGGACCACAGATGTGGGCAGCAGGGTGGGAAAAGGCTTTATCTCAAATTGGACCAGAGTTCATCTGGTAATAACATGACAGTATTAAGTCTTAATTCCTTGTTCTGTTTCCTTCCACTTATTATTGTCTGAATTTATTTGTTTGACTCTGGTAGATACTTTGAATAAACTTATTGGAATTTGTCCCATCATCCATTTGACTGAAAGAAATTATTGAAAGTATTCAAATCTCTGAATTTCTCTTCATGATGTCAATTATGAGTCTTTAATCTGAACCAGAAATATATAATGGAATGCCATCTGAAAAGGATTTTATATATGAATATTGAATTCAATGTTCTTTTCAAGAGCTGATCCAATTGAAAGATATATTCATTCCATATGATTAAATTTTTTCTGAAAATTATATAATATGCCCCAATACTTTCATATAGCCTGAACTGAACTGTTAATAATGACTTTGAGTTCCACTGAAGATTGAGATAGGCTCCTGTAACATGAACATTAGATGGTACCAGTGTCATCTTTTCGCCGGCTGGTTTTGGTACTCCTCATTTTTTACCTTTTATTTAGCTTTCTCTTTTTAATTTTATTGTTTTTCTTAGTGCCGCAATTTTTTAAAAGTTCATCTTGAAAATTGCAAACCACATTGTTTTCTTTTCTTCCATGAATTTTGAATCATTAGATTCTCTTTATGGACATAAATCTAATTGCAATGATATATGATAATTTTACTTCTTCCTGTTCACTAACAAAATTTTTGTGGATTTTATTGTATTTGATAGGTGGGTGGCTACCCAAAGTATTTTCTATCATCTCTACAACCAGGTCTCATACATGTCCCTTGATCAGATCTCACCCTTGACATTTAGCATTGGCAACACCATGAAACGAATATCTGTTATAGTTTCCTCCATCATCATCTTCCACACACCTGTCCAGCCTATCAATGCTCTTGGAGCTGCCATTGCTATCCTTGGAACCTTCTTGTATTCTCAGGTGAGTGATTGTGTAATTTATGAATGGTGCATTCTTGTTAATAATTTTGTAACAATCTATGTTCTCACTGCTATGCCTGTAGGACTGATATTGGTCACAAAATATCATTTGTCTGGATTGTTCAATGTGACTTGTATGTTTTCTTTTGGAGGACTCTTTTATAGTAATAAGGTCTATAGCGTATGATAAGAAGCACTGCATGTAAGATTTGACACTCTTCAGCCGCTTTAGCAAGTGACAAACTGACAATTTGTAAGGGAAGAAAAAAGGAACATGCACACACACAAAGAGTGTTGAATTATTTACTAATTGTGTAGTCTTCTACATTGTTCGCTGTGGTCTAGGATATACTAATGGTAGGTCTATGGTATTGTTCTAACTCTTGAATATCTTTGGCGTTTGGTGTCGTTGATTGGTTTGTTGGACCATCTTTAGCACCTTCACTCCTACAAGATTTTGGTGGGAGATGTAACTTTTGAATCTGTTATAATTGAGTTCCTCCTTTCATGGAGAGATGAATGACTTGCCAATTTTGTGAGTGGTCAAGGGGCTGCTGTAGTTAGTGGAGAATTATAATCCATAGATGTTGACACTTGGGCTGGCCAGTACTAGCTGCCAAAATGACAGTTGACAACCCCGGTGATAGGTGGTTCAATGTACCTGTTGAACAATCTGGACCACTGTCTGCCTAACCTAACCGTAGGCATATTACAAGATCGTGCATGGTTTATCCCTTCTACATTGTTAAGTTGTACATCAGTTGAGTTGGTAAGGTTTGAATATTTTGCTTATAAGGCTTAAATTCGAATCCCACTCTCGGTAGTCTTTTTTGGTGAGCAATCTGTAATTCAATGTAAACCCTTTCTGAAGCCTGTGATCTGTTCTGATCTTCGACTGGAGAAGCCTCCTCTCACTCTAAACTTTTATTTTAAATAAATGCTTTTAACAGATTCCATATCACTAATAATTTGAGAATATGCTTGGTTTCTCCCCCTAAACACAAAGGTCTTAAATTCTTAATTAGAGTATCTTGTATTGAGAATGATTGATTTCCAATACCCCTAATCACGAGTGCTCTCTTTTGCAGGCAAAAGCATGAGCAAACTGGGGATTCAAGAATTTTGATTCATCATATAACATAGACGATGAAAGCAAAAATGGTATGCAGAAGAACATAGCCTAAATGAGTTTATAGTTTACTGTCTTTTGGGATCTATCGCCAGATTTTGGTAAGATAAACCGGAAGCTTAATGTAGATATTTATAACAATGATGATGATTATAAAAAAGTCATACAGTGGATTAGGCAGTTTTTTTTTTTTAATATTTTAATACTGCTGAGAGGTAAAGTGTTTGAATAAACAAGGATTAATGTTGGGAGCCTTGTCTATGGCAGCAGACATGAAGAAGAAGAACGAAAACAATGTTATATGAATAGTGAGAGTAGGGTCGGTACATATGCTTAGCTTATGGTGTACATTGAAAATTTGTGGTCTGGAAAGGCATTTGGAAAAAATGCTAGTAGCAAGTTGATTTTAAACCTTCATTAACATGTGAGCTTGTCCCTTCATTACCATCTGACCACATGCCTCCTCTTGAATTGAAAGGATAATTTCTCTTGCTTTGTTTCATCTTTGGCCTTCCAAACATTTTCGTGTTTTCTTGCAAAAAATTAAGATGACAATTTGTTGTAAAATATAAAAATTATCATCACAATTAATATCTACTAATATCTACGTATTAAATATAAAATATATTTTTGGTTTTATCAAACTCATTCGGTTTTTGTTAAAATTTTAAATTAAGTTACTTATAATTTTTTTATTTTTTTATATTACATTATGTCAATAAAATTATGGTATGTACAATCTTTCCCTCTAGATAAAAAAAAAAAAGGGATATCTTGCTTTATCTTGTATCTCATGCAAGGAAACTAAAATTTGAATGTGGCTGCAGTTAAGAAAATTGGGTTTGATTTCTACAAAATCAAAGTGTATATATTGCATTCCACGCCCAAAGCATAAAATCTGACATAGCTCTATTGCCAAAGTTAGTGAAAGGGATTCCTTTATGGCCTATCTACAAAATAATAATAATAATAATAATAATAATAATAATAATAATAATAATAATAATAAACTGGAAGGTTAGCCTCAACAGGAGCTGTCAAAACTTTGTGTTCATACATATGTAAAACAAATGCAAGTTAATGGCATCATAAAACCATCAGAATTACACCTGCAAATGCTTAATCGCTGTATGAACATCCTTGTCACCTCTGCCACTGCAGTTAACCATAACTTTGGTACCATCCGGTGGAGTTGGGCACAGCTTCTCCTAACAAGCCAGTGCATGAGACGTCTTCAAAGCTGAGATCATGCCTTCCAGTCGATATAATCTCTTGAAAGCTACATATCTCAAAATGATTTAGTGAGAAATGACAATAAAGAAAAGTAAAATCGTGAATCAGTAACAAAAAGTATTATCTATTGTAATAAAATGTAGAATATAACACATCAACAAAATTACAGCAATGCAAGAAAGATTATCAAATGCATTCTTGAATTTTCCTAAAGATACTTTTTTTTCATTCCCTTAATCTTTAATTGCACTAAAATAAGCCTTTAATCTTTAATTTGTATTCAAATAAGCTCCGAAAATAACCTGTCAAGAGAGGTGAGTATTCCGGATACATTGGATGATTAAAGAAATAAGGTGAAACTTAGGTCAACTAGAACTGAAAGCTAAGGAATATAAGAATAAAACTTTACTAGCTCCTATAGATTAAGCTTCAAATTTTTGAAGTAACTGGTCAAGGCAACGAGCAATGCTCTAAATGGAGTAGCAGACAGGTTCAAAGAACATATAGCATGCGAAAGAAAAGGTGAACGGTAATAATGTGCTTCTATGAACAAGTATTTTCTTTTACAAGAATATGCAACAGGCAGTATCATAATCAGATATGCCAGGACTGAAGCCTTGAAAAGAAAAACTGGACTGCAGTTTCACACCTTCCAACGCTTCTTCATCTGTGACACTTTGGTACTCAGCACGCCCTTCATCTTTCAGAAGGATAATCCAAGCTGTATGGTCACAACAAAAAGTTGCCAAGTAATTCAAAGCACAATAAAGCAAGCCACATATATAAAAATGAACAAATTCATTATGAAATCCCTACCCTGCGCTAATGGAATGCGGTTCAACTATCTGTCCATCTTCATCCCGCAATAAGTAGCTCATAGCTCCACGCAACACTCCCACTTCTCCCTCAGTTAAAGTAGCAACATGCTTGCCACTATCCAAACCAAAACCTGCAGCCTCTACACCAATCAACCTAACATCCTTGTCATTAACAAACTCATGGAAAAGTCCCATAGCATTTAAACCTCCACCAACACATGCAACCAATGCATCTGGTTTTCCTTCCCCATTTTTCCAGCGCTTGTTTTCTTGTTTCTTTGCCAATCACTGCATGGAACTCTCTGACCATCATAGGATATGGATGTGGACTGGCAACAAATCCCAAAATATAAACAGTTGTCTCCACGTTAGTCACCTAATCCCGGATAGCTTCAGATGTAGCATCCTTCAATGTTGCTGTACCTGAATGAACTGCTCTAACTTATATGGTAAAAGATACAGCTTAAGATCAAACGATGTAAATCAGCCAATCTAAAGGGAAGGTAATATAGGATCTTCATTACGACAATGTATAACAAGTTTTGTCTCATTGGATAAACATTTACCTCTGGACCAAGAAGCCGCATTCTGAAAACATTAAGCGCCTGTCATTCCATATCTTGAGCACCCATGTAAATAATACACTGCAAACCAAACCGTGCACACACCGTAGCTGTTGCAACTCCATACTGACCAGTCCCACTTTCAGCAATAATCCGGTTCTTGCCCAAACGTTCGGCGAGCGATGCCTGAGCAACAGCATTATTGATCTTGTGAGCAGGGATTTAAATAGCAGTCGCAGTCACGTTTTTTATCGCATAGCATTTGTCGCGTTTTCGGATATAACGGAGATAATTGCGGTCATTGCGGTCATTACCGTCATGATTTTTTTTTTTACACAATTTATTATAAAATGTAATAATTATAATTATAATTATAATTATAAAAACTATTATTCAATGATTTTAAAAATAGTTTATGACACTATATTTTTTTTTCTAAAAAAATTATTCACAATTTTATTTAGATTATAAAAAGCATTCATATTTGGTTTATCCATAAAATTTTTCTTGGCCAAATTCATATTCAATATTAATTCTAGACAAATCAAATATTAACAAAACATAATATGTTAAATACAAAGCATTTAATTTAATAAAATTACAAATTTAAAAATATAATAATTTCAAATTTCATCAACTACAATTATTGATATATATTTCAAATTTTACCACATGGTAGAATGACGAGGAAGATCAGATTCTCTATCTTTACTTTGAGAGCCAAGTTGACTCCATCTCCATCTCTGAGGCTTTTGTTCTTGATACATTTGAGGTGGAGGGTATATTTGAGGATGATACATTTGTGGTGGAGGGTACATTTGTGATAATTGATACAGTAAACAAAGAAATTAATGATATGCCTTTGATTCAAACTATTGGTCCAACCATCACACATCAAAGTGACACCCAATTCATTCTAATAAGCTTTTAATTCATTAACTTATTTATGAACTTGTTGATACTCAGACTCTAAATACACATCTGAGACCTCATAAGGTGTTGAAAGTCTTACATGTTGGCCAACTTCTGCTGTCACAGAAATCAAATTATGCAACCATGGAGAATTTGCTAATTAAAAAGGAAATCGTCATATATTAAAAATTTTGATACTAATTCACCCATTTTTCTTCTTAATGTCTTTAGAAATGAATCACTTACTTTTGGTTGTCTTAAACTTTTACTTCTAACCAATTCAGGAATAGCTCTCTTAATGAAAATTCAGACTCATTTGAAGTTGATTTCCTTGTTCTTTTTTCAAAATATTCAGCAACTGAACCATGAGAGCTTCGTCCTTCTTCATATATGTTATTCCAACCACTAGTTCTTTGTTGAATTCTTGTCTTTTGTGCCACTCATGTGGTGATTATATACTATCTTGCACGGCTTATCTAGTAGTGATGTCTTCATCAATAAATCCTTCATAATCATCTTCCCCTCTTACTGTGATAAAAATTTATTTTTTCTCCTTTTGTTGTTTGCTTTTTTTTATTTGCTTTCTTGAAAGAGTTTCATCAATACTTTCTCTTAATATACCTATTAATATATAGTTTAAAAAAAAAGAGAAAATTCGTTCCATATACTTATGTAATTTTATAATTTTTATTAAGAAATAAACAATAATATTTTCAAAGGAATTAAAAAAATATAACATACCAGTAACGTTGGGGTATAGTGCAACATTACAGTTTTATGAGCAATGTGTTATTTGAAACGTGTTATTCCTCCTTTTACAACTTTACCACAAAGTTTACATGAAACATTTCCTCTTGTATTTAGCACAAGTGTTCCAAAATGCCAACCTATATCATCATTTGGCGCGCCCTCTACTCCTTTACTCGGGAACTCTTCACGTGGTAGCATACTTACTATTTTGTATAAAAACAAAATAAACTTATATTTAAAAATATTAATATTACTTATTACATCATTAAAAATTGATTTTACGCTAATTTTTTTAATTTTTAGTTTTTTATCTTAAAATATTATTAAATAATTTAATTTTTTTTATACACTAATTGATATTAATTTTTTATCACAAATAACTTCAAATAATTATATAATAAATACAATCTTCAATAATTACACAAAAATAATAAGAATTAATCTAATATCAAAAAAATCGACAACAATATAAATATCAAAACAACAAAAAATTATTAAATTTCATATACAAATTATAAATTAATATCTAACACAATCAAAATATAATATTTAATTTTAATTAATTTTCGTCTAACTTATATAAAAAATTTATTAATAATTTTCATCTACAATCTCTATGTATATCATATTAAATTATTAATCTCTTAATTTTTTTTTAATTATAAATCTTCAATCCCTCTAATTAGATTTTATCTAAAAAAATTTCAAAAATTAAAAGTTTTCAAACTTATATTTTAATAAAATTTTCAAACCTATATTTTTTATTTTTTAGTTTTTAATCTTAATAAGAGTAATAGATCATAAAATGCTAAATTTATTAAGTAACTTAATTTTTTTGATACACTAATTGATACAAATTTTTTTTATTACAAACAACTTTTAATAATTATATAATAAACACAATCTTCAATAATTACACAAAAATAACAAGAATTAATCTAATATCAAAAGAATTGACAATAATATAAATATCAAAACAAAAAAAAAATATTAAAATTCAGATATAAAATTATAAATTAATATATAACACAATCAAAATATAATATTTAATTTTAATTATTTTTCATCTAACTTATACAAAAAAAATTTATTAAAATTTTTCATTTAAAATCTCTATATATTATATTAAATTATTAATCTCTTTTTTTTAATTATAAATTTATCAAAAATTTTTCATTTAAAATCTCTATATATTATTTTTTTAGTTTTTAATCTTAATAAGAGTAATAGATCATAAATGCTAAATTTATTAAGTATCTTAATTTTTTTAAATAAACTAATTGATATAAATTTTTTTATCACAAACAACTTTTAATAATTAATATAATAAACACAATCTTCAATAATTACATAAAAATAACAAGAATTAATCTAATATCAAAAGAACTGACAATAATATAAATATATAAAAAAATATTAAAAATTCATATACAAAATTATAAATTATATATAACACAATCAAAATATAATATTTAATTTTAATTATTTTTTCATCTAACTATACAAAAAATTTATCAAAAATTTTTCATTTAAAATCTCTATATATATATTAAATTATTAATCTCTTTTTTTTAATTATAAATTTTCAAAACCACTAATTAAATTTTATCTAAAAAATTTTAAAAAATTAATTACAAAATTAAATAAAAAAACTCAATCCCACCTTCCAAACACCCCACCACACCTAATCCCTCCCCACCCCTATCCAATCCTTTTCCACCTTTCCCCCCAATATCCCACCACACCCAATCCCTCCTCACCTTCCTCCAAACGCCCCACCACACCCAATCCCTCCCCACCCCATCCAGTCTCTCCTCACATGCCTAATATCCCAAATTTGTTTAATTCTTTCTAGCAAACGTCAGACCCTTCTAAAAACGCTAATACTCTCTTTTGTTCATCTTCTTCTTCGTGCTGCCTTCCTTGGCTTTCCAGAATTTTCTTCTTATCTCTTTTTTTTTCATCTCTCATTTTCTCTTGCATCCATGTATCACTATCACTTGCTGACTTGTCTAGTATCTGCGGATACCTCGTTCGTCTTTCAAACTCTCATAACATATCATTTTACAAAAATTTTACAAAAAAAAAGGGTAATTTAACTTTCTTTTCTTACCTTATTTAATCTTGAATGTTGATTGAAAACTTGAGGCTGATTTGAATTTGAATGCAAAAAATGTCGATTGAATGGTTGAAACTTGAAATAATTGATCTGTTTTCTAGCTCGTTTTTAAATTTATTTTGATGATAAAGATCTGAGATTGTGAGCTTTATTTTTTGCTTTGGCTTTTACTTTTACTTTTGCAGGTTTATTGTTTTATTCTGCAGACTTAAAATTTTATTTTTTTCTTGAACTATTAGATCCGTGAGTAGAAAAATGGAATAGCGACAATAACGGTCTGTTATTGCCGCTATTGCCCGTTACGCCGTTATTTTACGACCGTTACTCTCCGTTTTTACTGTGAATGAATTTCTCAATCGTTTTTTATCTAATAACGGTAGCGGAGGGTGGCGCTATCGTAATTTTACGGCCGCTATTCCATTATTAAACCGTTATTTGAATCCCTACTTATGAGCACCGGCATGGTTAAGATCTTCCCTCTTAAGGTATATATCTGTCCCTTGACCATTGGGACGCTTGTAATGCTCTGAAAGCCGCTCAGCAAAATAAAGTGGACTTTCCCTATCAACATAGTCTTTCAAAGTCCTAGCTAGTTCTTCCTGCAAATCATAAATATTTTTCCTCAAAATTACTACCAGAAACAAAAATTCTTACAAAATGCTTTTCCTTTTTATCATTTCAAAGCTCAGATTCTTAAGAAGCTCGAATATCTTTGGAATCGAGTTCAAATAATTCACGAATAGCTTGATTTGTTTACTCCCCTACTCATCCCACCCAAGATATGATACGTTTTACAAACATCAAGTTTTTGGCCTTGTTTACTAATGAATGTTTTGCCTTTTTTTTTTAAATACTTTGTCTATTTCTAAATCTGTCTTACCTTTAAATTTACTTGATTGGAAAAAATGTTATACTTATAAGCTCATTTGAACCTATAATCTTCAAGTATTGGTTTTAATATCTATTTATCATTTTAATTAATTTAAGGACCTATCAACGTAAATTTGATGTACTTCTAATTTAAAAAGAATAAGAAACATCCCTCAAGTTGAATTTCCTCCCTAGTTCCATATTTGATACATTTTACAAGTTTAAATTAATAATATTAATATGATTAAAGGATGGGATCCTTTTATAATTTTGGTAGTCATTAAAACTATATTGAGAAAAGGGCACTGCATATGTACAAGCAATATTGAATTGTTAATGTATGATCCTCATATTCTATAAAAAGGAAAGGAGTCTAACAAGGAAAAACAAGTCTTCTCTGGTTTATTTTTCACACATCTTAGGAATTAATTATCTATCACGCCCCAAATCTGAATATTTAGGACATAATAATACCACATATTCATTAGACGAATCCCACAAACATGTAAGGCAACAGATGTTAAGCTAAATCAAAAATTTTAATAATATCTATAATAATACTTTACAGAATCTCAAGTCTATAAAATTATACCTTTTACAAGCTAATCGAATATACTAAAATTTTTACTAACAAATTTTTTAGAATTAATAATACAAAAGCTATACCAA